GTTAATTTTTCCTTGATTAAAATATGTTTTTAATTAATAGATAACGCTTATGTTGCTTTACTCATAGTTTTATCACTATTTTTAACATAAATATTTAGAATATTTATTTGTGACTCGTTCCTTGCTTTTATATAGTTTGTGTGTGTTGTCTGACTAATTCTATGTTTGGCACCAATATTTTTGACATAAATAATATATTATAAAAATACACAACATTTTACAATATACAGTTATGCATGCAAATAAATACTGTATTTACATATGTATGTATGCATGTGTGTACGCATTTATATAGAATACCTTGCAAACATACGTATTTACACAAATACACAAAACTCAACACATAAATACGTATGCATGTATGTATGTGTGCACATAACTAACCGCTAGTTTACCCCAAACAATTTGGTAATGTTTTATAAAATTCCATTTTTTGATAACAACAAAAACATGATGCCGGCACTCAGTAGCGCAAATAATTGGTTTGACATTTGCAACGCTGCGCCGCCATTCGAGCCGCCGCCGCCAAAGCTAGCCACAGCGACCATATTTTTCGGCGCATCAGCTGTATCCAAGTCATCTAAAAGCAAGCAAAAACGCAAATAAATTAAATTTCAATATCGCATAAATACAAAACTTTATGAAAATGCATGTTGGTACGTATGTCGCTTGTCGCATGTTACATATTGCAATAACCTGTTGCCAACGCGACATACGCACATAACAGCCATTGGCATTATTTACATATGTACACACCTTCATCATCGTCGTCGATACCATCGAGCACATCGTACGCATCCACATCACTTTCATTATCTTTAATTACGAAATTATRCTGCGTGGAGAATGCCGACCAGCCAACGGTATTTTTCGCGCGCATACGCACATGCCAACTACCCGGCGTGAGTTCCATCTCATGAGTCACCTTCCAAATGTGACTTTCCGCATGGCGGCGTGTATGCACCACAGATACCTTGCTCCAAGTGTATGACTATTTGCGAAAGCGGTCCACCCCCCGGAAGTGAGGGAAATTGATAAAAATATATAGTAAAAATATGAATAAATATATATAGTAAATATAGTATATAGTAAGCACACATAGAACCCCACTTCCTAGCCGCAGCTGTGCGGTATCTACCAGCTATACAGTGGCAAACATGTAAATATCTGCGTAGTGATAAAACTCAAGTCGAATTCTTGCTATAACCTTAACCCGCTCTGCGTGATTCAATTTAAATACCACTAATTGCGTTAGCGATTATCGCCCAGCGCGTCTCCAAGTGGCGCAATTGAGTAGATAGTCGTTTGTAGATACTTTGAATCACTTGATTTACATAGAACACGTACTGCATAGCGGTGCACGTGGTTGAGGTGTCGTCTGCTGCGCTTTCACAATATAAGATAAAAGTTTTGCGGCTTGCAATCAGCGGCCGTGAGCATTCGGGGAAATAGATTATAGAATTTCAACATTCACTTTCAACTTTCTCACAGCGAAAGCTATGATCTTAATTTAAAGGGTAAACCATTTCGAGGTTCCCTACTTTTTTTTTGAAGAAAAAACACAGAAACCTCAAATTTAATGGGGGAAATTATCAGTCAAAAGAATATTCTTCGGCATTTATTTTTTGAAACTTATCTCTGAAATGTTGGTCCATCCGTTTAGTCCAATTTTCAATGACTCGTTGGAGCATTTCGACCCGTAACTAGCGAATGACACGCGTGAATTTTTACTCCAAGGTCTGAATCGAAGCGGGATTGTCCGCATAGACCTTAGACTTTACATAACCTTACGATGTGATATCACACGATGTTAGCGGCCAATCAATCGATCAAAAACGTGAAATTATCTGCTCAAGAGTTTTCTCAAAAATCCATTGATTGATGTAATGTGTGGGAAGTGGTGCCGTCTTGTTGAAGCCAAATGCTGCGAAGATCACGAGCTTCAATTTCAGGCATCAAACCGTCGGCTATCATAGTCACCTTTGCCGGTTACGTTCTCACTGTTCTCATTTTTGATTTGCGTGTACACTCTTTAGCTACGGCTGCTATATTTTCTTCACTACGTGCTGAACGTGGTCTAGTCGGTYGCTGGTGTTGCGAATAGGACTCTCAGTAGGCCGATTATAATGARCATAAGTTGAGCGAAGCGCTCGAAACACGTTCTTTACAGAAGTTTATGGCGCCGAGAGCTGCCCTCCGACTCAAAGAATTAAGGTACTAAGATCATTGCGAGTCTTAACACTCTAGAATTTTCACACATTGAGATCTCATTCCAAAATACTTGGATTACCGGGTCGCCGAAGCTAGTCCTAGCTGACAACCTTTGGAACAAGGCATGCGAGAGAAGAACACATTTAAAGAGAGGGTTAGTGTGCAGTTTTAGAGATGTACAAAAGCTTGCGGGGAGAGTTGGTGAACAAGTACACTGTCTGTAGCTTTGCATCAGCTCCAGTTTTAGGCTTCCTGCCCACTGTAGCGTCTTCCACGCGGAAGTTTCTGCCATAAAGGTAGCAGTAGATCTTCTGATCCGGAGTCCAGCCGTCTCGTTCAGAGTGATAACTATTCACGCCGATAGTGGAACAGCGATATTAGCTTRGAGTTCGCTGTCTGTGCGCTGAAGACCAGTGAAAGAATGTCTAGATGCCTTATTACACTGCCTTATTTTTGGGCTTATTGTCTGGGGGGTGAGAAATTCAAARTCAGKGTGATGGTAATAGGTCAGTATAGTAAAACATTCAAAGGGTTTGGTGTTCGCATGTGTCAGTTTTTTTTTATTACCTTATGACCCCTGTTTTCCTTGTCTTGATGTTTTTTCGCTTAGTTGTAWGAAAACTGACATATACGCACGCCAAACCCTTTGAGGGGTTTACCATACTGACCTAGTACCATCACCCTGACTTGGAATTTCTCACCCCCCAAATTAGCTGTTGTACTGTGTTATTAACATCGAGTTGGCCACATCGGTATTGCAGCAACTGTAAGGCTGATGAGCTTGTTAAGACGGTTACGTTCAATCTTCGTTAGACCGTCGGGCCTAAGAGAAAATCAGCAAAGGATGTTCTACTACGAGTCGCTATGCAGTGGTAAGCACTTTCTGGGTAAATGTAAGAAAACTCTCTTCCTCCTTCGCAATCTTCGAAAGAACAGTCCTTGGCCGGATAAAATCCGGATCCGGATTGAGATGACTTAGAACATACAGTTGTGGGAATCGCGGATACTCTTCACTCTCCGTATGGTTCACCTTTCAATGGCTGTAGSAGTTCTAACTGAACACTTACCCGATCGGGTTTCATGAAGTAAGATTTAATATCTTATCAGGTGCCAGCTCCASCAGCTGATTGGAATTTTCATGTTCTTCAGATCAACACTTCCAACTTGAATGTCCCCCTTTTGCCAGATCAAGAAAACATATACAAATATATTCAATCTCATACATCAAGGTAAAATACCAAAAATAGAACTAAAACACCTTAACAGATTTGTGTGTGGTTCTGGGCTTTTTTTTGGCGATAGCTGATATCCCACCRTAGGAGTTTTTTATTTGGCATCACCAAGGACTGTATATAACGGTCTAAGTGTGTTCCAGCCGCAATTCTAAGAAATCAGTAATTTAACCTAACCTAACCTTTTGTCGCTTTATGTCCAAGATCTTTTTCGAAATTTTGCAGTATCCTAGAACTTGTCGCAGTTTATTCAGAAATCTCTCGAATATTTTTTGGCGTAATCTTCGAATTCTCTTCTGATACATAACAAGCTGTTTATTTTTACTTCTTTAAATCGAAAATTCTACAATGAAGCATTAAAAAATTATTGCTCCGTTGAGTTTGGCATCTGCCATCTCTTGTTCTAAGATTTATAGCAATTTGGCAATAACATTTTGTTTATAGATTTAATTTAGTAGTCAGCGTGTGCTGCAATCTGCACTTTTAATCTCACAAAATAAAAATTAAAATTATTTTCCAAACTTGCCACATTTACAAACACACACGCAAACGCAAGATTGCATAAATAATCTGAATTGTTTATTTTTTCAGAAAATTTGCGCAATCCGCTTGCTTGCTGACAATATAAAATTCTAAACTGATAAGATTTGTGGATTGTAAACAAGCACACCTTCATTTCCATTATATATACATATGTATTTATGTACATAAGTGAGTCACATTTATYCCCAAAGCAGTGATATACCACGGTGTAGATGAACACTGAGGGGAGATAATTGAATTCGAAGTAATTGCAATACAAATACTAGACCGAAGCAAATGTCTGCCAGCGACTAGAAGCGMGTTAATCCGCATCAAGAGTAACAGGTATGTTAATTTTATCTTATTTATGCCACTTTTATTGCTGGTGTTACATATATATGCATAATAACTTGAAGACTTTATATTAGAAACAAGATTTTCATAAAAGCTTAGACTAAGACCACATAAAGTTTTCTTTTTCGAAAGAATATTCAAAACTTAAAAAGTGAAGATTTCCGGGTTAAAAAATATTGGACTAAGTTAGATTATACTGGTCGACTGTCACGCAATACATAGACCTGATGGTCCGTAGTAAAGTCAAATGAAGGTTCMGTTTCAGTTGGGCTGAATTATTCGTCATAGAGGATGTCAACGCTGTTTTCGAACGAAAGAAAACGAAAGAGCAACTTGATATCCAATTTTGATACTTCATATAGTCCCTAGCTCCTACATATCTAAGACGAGACCTACTAACATTACACTCGAGCAGAAGGAGAGTGCAGGGAAGTGCTTATGAAAGCCGCTTTACAACGGAATGGAGGTCTTCCTCTGCTTTCCCCGGTGTCGGGTCAAGGCACTAAATGAAGTATAAAAACAAGATACCAAGCAGCTCTCAAGTTTCGCAAAAAGCGTTAACGGCCTGTATGACGTTTCTGCGTCTCTCTTAAGCCTACTTCCTTGGTCTTTCGGCATGTATCGCCGTTACTTGCATGTGATTTTAGGAGATTTGTTGACTGTCATGAGGCAAACAGCCGTCCTCCACTTCTTTCTAGACTGTGTGAGTAAAAAGCATATGTGTTTTCTTACGGAACTTTTGCTCAAGATCTTGGCGATCTTATCTCGACTTGATTCATCTGCCAGCACTTTCTTAAATTTCATTGTATTTTTATTGACTTCCGTGTTTCCTGTAGTGGTTCGGTGGCTACTTTTGGCCATCTCATCAGCTATTCCCATTTCCAGAGTTCCTTTGTGGTCTGGAATTTTGATCTGATCGACTTTGATCTCCCAAAGATCTAACGACGGGTTTCAGTCTCTTAATCAACGCATTACAATCCAGCAAGTCTAGCTTCGAATTATATTTCTGTCAAAATTAAACAGTATGTACTAATAACGGCTGATCTTTTGATATTTCCTACATAAAAAGCTTTTTTTTTTTTTTTTGAGAGAAGTAGTCGCCTTCAGTTAGCTTTTATCCTTGCAGAATCCTCGCAAACCAAAAATTGWGAGAAGTGAGCTCTTAATTCGGCCTAAAAGGTTTAGAGTGAAAGGAGGTTAAGATTTGAAGTCCAAACCAATCGATCATTCGACATTTTTGACGTGAAAAACTTTGCTTAAGACAATCAGCCRCCTGCAGTTGGTCTTTGCGGTATCCTCGTTAAGAGGCTGAAGTTAGCTCTTAATTCAGGAAAGCAATTTTGGATTTGAAATCCGTAAAGTTCGAAGAAACTATCGATTTTACATGARGTTGTACTTTTCGCTTCCAAAAGCTCTGATTAATACTCCGAAAAGTTTGTGTCGCTGCTTCAAAGTACCACAAGTAACTTTTTTATGCTGYAATGGACGTAAAAATTTACATCCGACTTTGGTTTACTCTTCAGTTGYGAAATTATAGTGTGTAGTTCTGAGGCTGGGTCGATGAAGCTTCCTGTCTCAGATGTAGATAGAGTACGTGAGACTTTTAAATATTGTATCGTGTGATGTTAAATCGAAAGGTGCTWTATTTTGGCGGATGTAGGATCACGGGAGCAGTGTTCGTATAAGCTGCCACAACAGATAGTAAGATCTTCAGCCAAGTTGGGTACCTCGTCGTTAACGAAAGGGACAGATTCCGCTTATGAAATTATCCAAAAAATGAGCAAAAATCTGGAGTAACTGACTTGAAATGTTTCTAGACGTTAAAGATTATCAGCACTAATAAAAAGCAGTGGAGTCCGACTACCAATGTCACTAAAACCTGGTGGAACCGATACGCTTTTGAAAGTCCTTCGCCTGGCATATTATCGAGTTAGGGTTCGACTAGGCTGGCATACTCAAGTTCTAAAAGAAAATTCAWCTTCAATTGTACTTACGCCCGCTAGTTTATAATCCAACACCGCCTCCGATAACGGCTGTATGCTGCGCACTAACCAATGTATCACCACCTGGTTACCATTGACTTCCAAGTCCTCCAATTGTGGATGTTCCGGCTCGTAAATGATATGCACTTTCGTCTCACCACGGCCGATGGCATTCTAAAGTATTTAAAATTTAGCAAACAACTCAAATATATATTTCAACATGCCGCCTTACCTGGACCTGGCATACATGCTCGCCAAGATCGTTAGCGCTCACATCCATAACCGTTAAGATCGAACGTTTGCGTTCTTTGTGTGTGATTTCGTTGAATGTATATTTATCCGAGGCATTCAGCCTTTTACCGTTACGCAGCCACAGCACTTCACCACTCGGATTTGCCGCATAGTCACAATACAACTCGGCATTGCCACCCTGTTCCGTATTGACATAATGCCGATAAGTGGAGACCTTCGGCACGTAAACAACATCGACAACGATCATGGCATGCGGCGGTTCTTGTGACAGATCATCGGCTAGACACTGGTAGATGCCACCATGTTTGGTATCCACATTGTCAATATAGAGTTGCTCGCCCAGCACACGTTCRACTAAACTTTCGGCGCGTTTGCCCTGCGTAGACGGAGAAAAAACAAAACAAGATTGGTAAAAAATCATCAAAGTTCAGTCCACTCAAACGGCTTCAGTGTCGACAACTCACATCGATAAACCATTTGATCTGCACATTTTCCAGTGAGTAGTATTTGCATACACAAACGTGTGGTTCACCCTGTACGAAAACCAAAGTCTCATTGGTTACCTCATGCCCATCACAGAATATCATCAGACTTTCATCAACTTCGACCAACGCATGCATGCGCASCTTCTCRGGCAGCACTTCACAGTAATAGTCGCCAGCATCCTTCGAGGTGACATTCTGTATCACCAGCGAATTATTCTTGAGCACATCCACATTGGGATCCATAACGAATTGTCCGGTTGCAATCACAATTTTACCCTTRTACCACATGATCACATTTTTTGCTRTAAGGAAGAACATGTAAGATGAGTTATTCTCACCATATCAGCATTTTCCCGCCTCACACTCACAATGTATATTCTTGGCGGCGCAGTCGAGCAGTAGATTCTCGCCTGGCCGTGTGTAAATATTGACTTCCGCTTCTTCRAAATATGGTGGCTGTGCTTTCAGTTCCGCTGCTTTCATTTCCGCCGCCTCGTTAGCCACATCATCCGCATATTCTTCATCGTCATCTTCCTCATCATCAATATATTCATTGTCCACATCGTCTCCGTCTGCGTCTGTCTCATCATCGTAATAGGAGTCATCTTTTACGTAATCGATGTCGCCGACGGGACTGCTAGTAACAGTCTTGTTCTCAGCAGCCGCACCTAAAATTCAAATTAGACGTTYATATTATTTGATTTCGCAATTTACACTTCTCCATGTGAGATAAGTGATTTGTGGAAATGTTAAAGACATAAAATATTAATTTAATTAGCACTAGTTCAATAACCTAAACCGGTGATGTAASAGAGGAAAAGAATTTATGTGTTAGAGTGTAGTATTTTTTCGTCTTTTGATAGATTTGAAAGCCATCCAGTTTCAGATTACAGTACTGAAAACAAAGCGGTTCGYGACAGGCCAAAGTTTTGGTAGGACATTGAAAGCAAATAAGAAGTAAAATACATATTTCTGAGATCCGGACTCGAATTATGCCTGAAAAAATAGTTTGAGTATTTGAAATAACCTCCTCTTTGGGGATTTGCGTTAAGGWGGTCTTTAAAAGCTTTAGTCCAGTAGAAAGCAACGTTCAAAATCCAACTCTCCCAAAAAGAAGTGCTACTTTATAGTCCGCGGAGTGAGAAAAGCCTATCATATAAAACTGTTGTGACTTATAGCAATCAAATCTGTTTGTGTGTTAGATAAAGATACAACCAATGAAAAACCAAAGATATTACAGACTTCTTTCGGTTTTATTCGTCCTTAGCATTTTATTGTACTAATGAGCTTRTTAGATTTTTATATTATATGTGGAAGGGGATAGCGTCATAGACTACATTGGTTAAAACCTCGAAGAAGTTCAATTCCAATACAATTTTCAAGTTTGTAGTCTAGTCTTTCAAACATTTCTGTCAGTTTTAGGCTTTCTAAGTTTCGTGTTCAAATCTTTGCTGCTTTCAACCCCACAAATACATTTTACAAGGTTTTTACATGACCAAGAGCTGTTTCGGCCAAATTTTATTTATACTAATACTTCATAAAGGTTTATAAAGAATGAATAACCGATTAAGCGAGGTTCATAGATAAGACTGGAAGTAAATCATGATTATGGATGTTTATCTAAATGGTGAATACAGGTCGAATTCATTTCCCTAGTAAAGGTATTTCAATATTATCTTCTCGAGTAGAGTTCCCTCGTTCTTTATATTGTATATTGAGACTCTCTCTTATTCCTACTAATGAGCGCTAAACCTCAAAATTACTAAAATCCATCCTGTCGATTATCTTTCCGACAACCCTAGTAAATCAAAAATAAAGCGCATCTCCTCTATTCTCACGGGTATATAGACACAAATACATATGTACTATATATAGATAACAGCGATCAATAATTGGCGAAAATGATGCAAAATTAAGCCAAGCATTTCAACCTACAAGCGTGAAAATCAGTGAACTTGTTTTGCTGACTTAAATTTTTTTTGGCGATTGGCGATTTATATATATAGCACATTATTAAGCCCATCACATGTTTCTGATAAGGACTCTGGCTACCTTAAAATACTTTACTTTGTGTATATACAAAATTCATCGATTGAGGCACTTTACGTGTGTAGAAGCATGTTGAGGTACTCAATTAGAAAAAGCTTTTATAATACCGAAATTTCGGGTTCTTGAAATTAGAACTTAAATGTTCCAAGGTTTCTTGTAKTTTTATGATTTATTTTTTCATAGAAGATAAGATTGGACTTTTGGTAAWTCTATAGTGTTTTGAACAGTTGATAGAGACTATCTACTATATATGTATGTATATGGGTTCTCTCGTCAGCATTTTCATTACCTTCTACACTTGTGTAACACGATTTCTGGTACTAAAAAAAAAAATATTTGATCGGGATCCTCAAATTTTCGGGATTAATATTTTATGATGTGAGAGTTAAAGATTCGTAAGTTTACAAGTCCAATCTGCTATACATTCGGGCTCTCGAAAAATCCAATTTTGGTAATTGATACTTTAAAATTTAATTTTTTTTAATTAAGATGGGATCTTGAAGATGTGAAATGTTATGTATTCGGTTTATTGCAATTTCTATATACTTTATAACTCCGACATTTCAAAATTTCCGTTATTAAAAAAACTATAACTTCGGGATCCCCAAAAATTTCGGTATAAAAATTTTTACATTAGACCACAGGTTTTACAATACGAGGTGTGTTCAAAAAGTATCGCGAATTTTGAATTTTCGCGGGTTACGTATATTCGAATTCCGAATTTTATGTYGGTACTCATGTCTCTCACTTATGCCGACAAGCTCGGCCATTTTGAATGTTCATTTAATTGTTGACAGCTGCTTTGCTTCCACGTGTTTTTAATCGTCTTCGATTTTTACCTATTAAAAAATGGATCAAAGAACCTGTATCAAATTTTGTGTGAAAAACAAAATTAAGTGCGCGGATGCATTCCCAATGTTGACTGTGGCATACGGAGAAGCTACCTTGGACCGAAGTAACGTATATCGGTGGTACAAAATGTTCTCAGAAGGCCGAGAAGATGTGACAAAAATTGGCTTTTGCACCACRAHAACGCCCCTGCTCACACATCGTTGCTTGTGCGCGACTTTTTGGCCAAAAACAACATACTAATGATGCCGCAGCCACCGTATTCCCCAGATCTGGCGCCCTGTGACTTTTTCTTGTTTCCTGAACTGAAGAGGCCCATGAAAGGACGACGTTACGCTTCTCTTGACGAGATAAAGACGGCATCGAATGAGCAGCTGAAGAAGATAAAAAAAAAAATGATTTTTTGAAGTGCTTCGAAGATTGAAAAACCGTTGGCACAAGTGTATAATATCTCATGGGGATTACTTTGAAGGGAACCAAATAGATATTCATGAATAAATAAATAATTTTTGAAAAAAACACACAATTCGCGATACTTTTTGAACACACCTCGTACATTTCCATTACATTTTATATTTTTATGTTTTATACTTTCGGTATCCCGAAATGCAATAATGCTAATTGATATGATATGGATTCCGAAATTTTTGGAGTTTTTTGTGCAGTATTATAGAGTTCTGGTTCTGTACTTTATAATTCGAAATTTCAAAATTTTGGGTTTGAAAAATTTAATAATTTGGGAATTAATATGTTTACGTTAGATCTCATGGATCTCAGATTTAGCAATACATTTAGGTTTTATATTTTTAAGTTTCATACTTTCGTGATCCCGCAACTTTTTTCGGGATCTTAATTTTTTATGATATATTTATGATAGAATTATTGTTCCGTGTTTTATAAGCTGAAATTTTAAAATTTTTGTCTTAAAAATCTTTGTAGGTCAGCATCCCCATAATAAACCTAAATTGCAATATTAGTATTATTAGACTTCACTTTTTACACTACATTAATAAGGTGTTATATTTCTTTTTTTTATACTTTCGGGATCCCGAAAAAAGTTGTGAGTTCCGAAATGCAATATTGGTACTTGATATTGGCAGACATGTAGAAAAAATCGACATGCATTTTATACACAATATTATTTTAGTGACTCAATCGACATATTGATAATTTTTGATCCCCTTTGAAGGGAGTATACATACATATCTACATATATAGGTACATATGGATGTGTGTAGGTATTTATGTTTATGTATGCATTTGTGTATGTTTACGTCCCTTAATACTGTGTGCGAACTTTGCACATGTTTTAATGAATTTACTTGGCCAAATTTTTTCTTTTACTTTGTAATTAATTTTTTGTTGTTTTCTTGGCATTTTTGCCAATGTGCTCTGCAATGAAATTACTATTTATAGCAGTTTATGTCATGAAATACAAGAATGAGTCTTTTTAGCTGTTGTCTCTTTTGGTGATAATTTGTTCGGTATAATATCTTTTTCGCAAATTACTTTTATTCATCATTTTTATTGTTTTTATTGTTTTGTTGTTGTWATTTTTTTTWWTTTTWAACGTTTTTTTTATTTCTTTTTTTTGTAATTGTTTTTTTTTTGTTTTTGTAATTTCTTTTTTTATAATATTTAATGCTTTCGGAAATCATTTTTGTGGTTTTTGTAATATTTTTTTTTTAATTTTAATATTTTTGTAAATGACTTTTGTTGTTTTTGGAATATTTCTTTTTTTTTATAATTTTTAATCATTTTTGTTGTTTTTGTAATATTTTTTTTTAAGTTTTAATGCTTTTGTGATTTTTTTTTATAATTTTTAATGTTTTTTTAATTGTTTTTGTTTTTGTAATTTTTTCTGTTCTTATAATGTTTTGCCTTAGCTCTAAGTAACTCGTGCCAAAGTAGGAAGTGAACTTGTCTACATAAATTAGCAGTTATGAACAATGCATCTGTAAATACATATATATGCATGTGTAAACAAAATCATATTTTTCTTTGTTATTATTTTCCATTTTTCAGTTAAGAATTAGCGCACCAACAAATATCGCATTTTTTGGTGACTTTCGGTTGCTGGTCGGTGGGCGAAGTTGCTATCTTATCGACTTCCAGCTATTTATCATATCAAAGTTTACCTTATAAATTATCTACCGCCTATGCATGTGTGTGTGTGTGTGTATGTGTGCATGTACGTCAGAACCACAAATATTCACACGCACACATGCATACATTTGAATATGTATACCCATATGTACATAGCAAGTTTCACGATAGTTCTGTGGAAAAATTGTTTGAAATATTAACAAAACCAGCATTCTTTATCTTAGCACCTTTATTGTTGTTGAAAAAATCACGTTATAACACATTCCAGCAAAAAATGGATATACTATACATATACACATATATATCTAGAATTTTTTTCATTTTCTCTCTTGGCGAATTATTTTTAATTAAGTTAGTCTCGTTTGATAAACGTACTTGACAAAAATGTTTTAMTATACACATACATATATATATTTGTGTAGGTATGTATGTGTAAATACACCAAGCATGAATAGTTTTTGTTATCAAAATAGTAAATGTTTACTATTTAAGAAATTATCATGTCAGCGCTAAAAGTAGTAAATTACTTTCTCATTACTGCTGACATCAGCGCTTATTTTCGGGGCTATGAAAAGTTGGCGGTATTTGTTCTTTTGAATTTTGACATTGGTAGAAAAAAATTTGCAACAATTTTAGCAATTTTCATACTCTGTAATGTAAAGTTTGCTATGCTCTTTGTAACAGCCAGAATCAGAGGTCGGGGACCTCGAAGTGGAAAAAGTCTTTTCTTATTTCTATTCAAACTTCAACTTATTATTTTTTATATTTATAATGAACTTTAATGAACCAAATATGTAACATTTGGATACACCACTTTTTGTTATTTTTCCGTCATTATTCCATCAGAGTAAAACTTTGCTGATTTCTCGGCGAAAAACTGCGACAAAAAATTTTCACAGGCTTCTCTTGAAGCCAACTCTACTCTATTAAGGGAGTTTTGCATCGACCGAAACAAATGGTAGTCCGATGTTGCAAAGTCAGGGCTATATGATGGATGCATCAAAACTTTCCAGCCAAGCTCTCCGAGTTTTTGCCGAGCCATCAAAGTTGTGTGTGGTCTAGCGTTGTCCTGATGGAAGAAGAAGCTCGTTCTGTTGATCAGTTCTGGCAGTTTTTTTTTTTTTCGATTACTTGTTTCAATCTCATCAATTATGTAGAAAAATAATGTAGAATTAATCGTTCGACCAGGCTGCAGCAGCTCATAGTGGATAGTTCCTTTCCAATCCCACCAAACACTCAGCATAACCTTTCGAGGCGTCAATACTGGCTTTGCCACCATTTGTTAAGCTTCATCACGCTTGGACCATGATTTTTTTCACACATCATTATCGTATTTAATCCACTTCTCGTCTKCTGTTACCATTCGCTTCAGAAATGGTTCGATTTCATTTCGTTTCAGCARMGAATCGCAGATGTTAATTCGGTTCATTAAGAAAAAACTTTGTCGACAAGCGAAGCGACACATATGTTAAGAATTGTATCAAAGTCTATCGGGCCCCCGTAATTAGTACGGAACCTGTCGGGTTTAGATTAATCAGAAACAATCGGCATGGCTGTGTTTYCGAAACCATTTGCTGATTAGTTCAAGCTGTTATAAAAACAATTTCAAATAAGTACTTGTACAGTATACAAGAGTCACTTCTCCGAAAAGGCTTAGAATTCAAGAGCTCAGCTACTACAAGAATGAGACACTTGAGACAGTAACTAACTGCTGTTGTCTGTCCAAAAAGGCATGATATAAGTAGTTTTTGGTACAAAGAAGTCGATAGCTTGCTCGGTGAGTCTCCTCTTTCTTTTCTTACGCATACTTTTTGAAATTTGCGAATGTTAGTTATGTCATTCCGCGTATTACAAATATTTTATACCCACAGTTATTAGCGAATTGTTGCAAATATAAACGAAAATAATGTCAGCMAAAAGTGAAGCGTTCCGCATGAGCCACATTTGCACTGACAGTTAATGAGGTTTTCAAGGCTGACTAACACTAACACGCATGCAGAGATATTATATATACTTTTTATATGATATAGTGATTTGTTATTAAAACAACAAATATAGATATTGTGGCATGTTATAAATTAAATAGTACCGAAACTCCGAAGCTTKCAAAACGGTCTCAGTATTTTCGAAACCATTTCAAAAATTCCCCAGATCATGTGAGCATGTCAAAAATTATAAAGCATCCTCTACAAAGTTTCGTGTTTTAGAGAATAATTTAAAAATTATAATATCATATATATTTCTTTCGACAAAGTGTTGCCACCTAACTTCGTATGTAACACACTTTTTCCCCTAAAAGCCATTTGAGGGGTGGYAAACCCCCAAACCATGAATATCTTACTAAAATTATTTTATAAACGATTTTGGTTTCCATTTGAAATATAGGGGGCCCTTTGGTATGAATACGACCCTCGCCTCTCCAAAGAATAGTTGCATTTGGTARTTAACCCTTGAACATGCTTCGAATATTGTGATTAGGTGAGGTACCAGCGTTGTTGATACATTCTGCATCGTGGCTGGACAAATACCGTCTATATCAAGTGATACCAGGTCCTTTTCGACCTGATCTCTCCAAAGATGTTCCTCGTCTTCTGCTTTCACCGGGTACTRAATCGAAAACCCTGTCCATCCGGACAACATGTCCTTAAACACGATTTCTGTAGGAAAGTTATCTCTTACAGTTTGGAGATCTGTTGCGTTTGCTAGAAAATGTGTGTTGACTAAGTCTACCAGTCATTTCTTACTGAATTCATTATCCACATCTTTTGTGTAGTAGCCTATTGGTACTTGTATAGTACTATCCTAAGCCTAGCTGACTCTACAGATTTTAATCTCCTATACCTAAACTGAAGGTGTACGCAGCATCTTCAAATATTCGACAGAGTTGACTCTCATACTTTGATTTGACATAATTCAAATAATAAAGAAAAGCAGGCACCGTGCCTGGCCAGTGCTTAGGTGACGCTCGCACCACAAYGTGATGTGATTTAACAGTGATGTGGCCTAACAGTAATGTRATTTAACAGTCATAAAGTAACCTGCCGGGAAGCTGGCTGTTAGGTAGCTCTATAAAAAAAAGGCAGGCACCGTGCCTGGCTAGTGCTGGCACCGCGATGTGAAGTGATTTAACAGTGAAGAGATTTAAAAGTGATGTAATTTAACAGTCATAACGTAACCTCACAGGACGCTGGCTGTTAGCTGGCTCTATAAAAAAAGGCAAGCACCGTGCCTGGCTAGAGCTTAGGTGACGCTCGCACCACAATGCGATGTGAATTAAACGTGATGTGATTTAACAGCTATGTAATTTAACAGTCATAAAGTAACCTCACTGTTAGCTGGCAGTTAGCTGGCTCTATAAAAGAAAACCAGGCACCGTGCCTAGCTAGTGCTGGCACCACTATGTGACGTGATTTAACAGTGACGTGATTTAACAGTGAAGTGATTTAACAGTGATGTGATTTAACAGTGGTGTCATTTAACAGTGATATGATTAAACAGTCATAAAGTATCCTCACGTGATGCTGGCTGCTAAGCACCAAGCTGGCTCTATGAAGGAAAAGCAGGCACTGTGCCTGGCCAATGCTTACATAGTGCAGGCAGCGTGTCTGGCCAGTTACTTCAGCTCAAACTAAACTGCAATATCCATCGGTCTATGTACAGCCGACTTAATCTAAACTGTAACCGACTAAAACCTAAACTTTAACCGAATATAACCTAACCTTAACTTTTGCCCTCCTTCAGTGACAGCAAGTGTCAAATAGTTCACAAGAACTTATTATACACCCCTTTTTTACAGCGCCACTGTAAAAGTATGTGTTGGTAGATTTTTAATAATATATATAATATTTATATATCTACATATATATTTAGAAAAAAATATTGCTAGCATGTGCTAATTTCATTGGTTATTATCAACCGCATTAAGTGCTATTAGTAAAAGTATTATTCGATAGCATTGCAAATAGTTCAACAAGTGTTATCGCAAAAGCGAAAACCTCAAATAATTCCCCACTTACCAGTGTTAAACTGCAGGCAAATAGTTGCAAAAAATAAGGTTAACAAAAGTGCTGTGCCGCCCTTCATTTT